TCCTCTGACGAAATACAATATTCAGTCTGGTGATAGCCATTATCTCATCCTTTGCCCACGGTTATTTCTAGACAATTTCAGGGCTTGTAGAGAATAAGTCGAATGGTTGTTTACACATAATGAGATTGATTAATTATTTTCCAAGGCTGTCGGATTGCTAGGCGAGACCTAAACGTCGTGCTACACACACACACACACACTTAAATAGTGTCTTTTGTGAGTAGATAACAAATTTTCGGCGTTCGCAGAAACTCTGGTGAGACAACTATAGAAACACCGACGTGCCGACATCACACAACTCTCAAAATCGAAAGTATATGCTTTCGATTATATACATATATATATATACTTATATAAGTAGAACAGCAAACAATTCTCTACAATAGATTTTCATTTCTCATGAGTACAGTTAGGATTTGGGTGACACCGCTATAAAATAAAAGGGACAGTCGACATAAAGACGGTAGACGGTGTTTTCGAGTTGTTATTCATTGCTTGGCATAGTCCGAGTTGTTTTTATCTTCACTTGAGAGTAATTAGGCACTTGTAAGTTATGAGTGGGTTTTGTCGGAGTAAACAGCAGTTGGCCCCGAGTTCAGACATATTTCCATCGACTTTTATCTTCGGATAATGCCATCAGTCTTCGTGTAATAAGTGTCTCTCATTGATACATATAAAGCTGTATCTGTCAACTGATAGTTGAATTTGATTAGCAGTTTAATGTTGTTGTGCAGGCTTCCATTTGAAAACACACAAGGGAAGTAGGTAAATGATGAGGCAATACTCATATGGAAGATGAATAATGTGTGTAGTTATTTTGGAAGTATATAGCGTTTCCTCCTAGTGGTATTTGCATTTTTTCAGATGGCGCGCCGCGAACCACATTCAGAAGAAGTCTGTCATCGACCTGTGGGGAAGTTGACAAAGTCTAGTGACGTAAGTCTCCTCCATTTGAATTAAAAATGCTTTTCTATACTCTTAAATCATATGAGCAGTTGGTAGAAGTAAAAATGTCCTATGCAGTGATTTATTTCGAGTAGTAGTACGTTGCATGTGTACTTGACTTTTTCAGGTCTGAAGCATCCGGTATTGTCATGTTATATTGTGTAAGTGCTAAGACAGTTAAGACACCTAGCCATCAGTTTGAAGGACATATGCATCATCTACGATGATTGTAGTGATCGCCGTAGAATGGGTATGCTGTACAGTGATGAATTGTTGGTTAGAGTTTTTATTGTATTTATAATGTATTGTCATGACTAGAGCTGACTGAATTTTATGGCGAGAATTGTGGTCATTTTTACAACAAGCCACTACTAGTTTGCAAGTTTATTTTCATGATGTTTGTGAATGAAATCGGTTACAGATAACAAGTGACATTGTCTACTTGTGCGTAGCATGGTACTTGCGAATAACAATTTGACTTATGTCTGCTCAATTATACGCTTCTATTTGTAATCACACTGCCTGTCCAGAAGTATTTCACTTTAGTTGTTTTGTTTTTTTCACATTCCATAGGATGACGTTCTATGTGTGAGAATGGAACGTCTCAATTCCTTACGGTCATCCTTGTCTAGTAAGAGACTTACAACGGACAGCCATGAAGCTGGCGTAAGTGTTAGTCCTTGTCAACCGCTTATATTTCAATAACTCTTATCGCTTCATCAAAGTTTTTAATACCATATGCATGATCTATCAACTATTTGGAGTTTTCGATGTGCTTTTGTTTTTTATCTTTTCTTCCTCTGACGAAATACAATATTCAGTCTGGTGATAGCCATTATCTCATCCTTTGCCCACGGTTATTTCTAGACAATTTCAGGGCTTGTAGAGAATAAGTCGAATGGTTGTTTACACATAATGAGATTGATTAATTATTTTCCAAGGCTGTCGGATTGCTAGGCGAGACCTAAACGTCGTGCTACACACACACACACACACTTAAATAGTGTCTTTTGTGAGTAGATAACAAATTTTCGGCGTTCGCAGAAACTCTGGTGAGACAACTATAGAAACACCGACGTGCCGACATCACACAACTCTCAAAATCGAAAGTATATGCTTTCGATTATATACATATATATATATACTTATATAAGTAGAACAGCAAACAATTCTCTACAATAGATTTTCATTTCTCATGAGTACAGTTAGGATTTGGGTGACACCGCTATAAAATAAAAGGGACAGTCGACATAAAGACGGTAGACGGTGTTTTCGAGTTGTTATTCATTGCTTGGCATAGTCCGAGTTGTTTTTATCTTCACTTGAGAGTAATTAGGCACTTGTAAGTTATGAGTGGGTTTTGTCGGAGTAAACAGCAGTTGGCCCCGAGTTCAGACATATTTCCATCGACTTTTATCTTCGGATAATGCCATCAGTCTTCGTGTAATAAGTGTCTCTCATTGATACATATAAAGCTGTATCTGTCAACTGATAGTTGAATTTGATTAGCAGTTTAATGTTGTTGTGCAGGCTTCCATTTGAAAACACACAAGGGAAGTAGGTAAATGATGAGGCAATACTCATATGGAAGATGAATAATGTGTGTAGTTATTTTGGAAGTATATAGCGTTTCCTCCTAGTGGTATTTGCATTTTTTCAGATGGCGCGCCGCGAACCACATTCAGAAGAAGTCTGTCATCGACCTGTGGGGAAGTTGACAAAGTCTAGTGACGTAAGTCTCCTCCATTTGAATTAAAAATGCTTTTCTATACTCTTAAATCATATGAGCAGTTGGTAGAAGTAAAAATGTCCTATGCAGTGATTTATTTCGAGTAGTAGTACGTTGCATGTGTACTTGACTTTTTCAGGTCTGAAGCATCCGGTATTGTCATGTTATATTGTGTAAGTGCTAAGACAGTTAAGACACCTAGCCATCAGTTTGAAGGACATATGCATCATCTACGATGATTGTAGTGATCGCCGTAGAATGGGTATGCTGTACAGTGATGAATTGTTGGTTAGAGTTTTTATTGTATTTATAATGTATTGTCATGACTAGAGCTGACTGAATTTTATGGCGAGAATTGTGGTCATTTTTACAACAAGCCACTACTAGTTTGCAAGTTTATTTTCATGATGTTTGTGAATGAAATCGGTTACAGATAACAAGTGACATTGTCTACTTGTGCGTAGCATGGTACTTGCGAATAACAATTTGACTTATGTCTGCTCAATTATACGCTTCTATTTGTAATCACACTGCCTGTCCAGAAGTATTTCACTTTAGTTGTTTTGTTTTTTTCACATTCCATAGGATGACGTTCTATGTGTGAGAATGGAACGTCTCAATTCCTTACGGTCATCCTTGTCTAGTAAGAGACTTACAACGGACAGCCATGAAGCTGGCGTAAGTGTTAGTCCTTGTCAACCGCTTATATTTCAATAACTCTTATCGCTTCATCAAAGTTTTTAATACCATATGCATGATCTATCAACTATTTGGAGTTTTCGATGTGCTTTTGTTTTTTATCTTTTCTTCCTCTGACGAAATACAATATTCAGTCTGGTGATAGCCATTATCTCATCCTTTGCCCACGGTTATTTCTAGACAATTTCAGGGCTTGTAGAGAATAAGTCGAATGGTTGTTTACACATAATGAGATTGATTAATTATTTTCCAAGGCTGTCGGATTGCTAGGCGAGACCTAAACGTCGTGCTACACACACACACACACACTTAAATAGTGTCTTTTGTGAGTAGATAACAAATTTTCGGCGTTCGCAGAAACTCTGGTGAGACAACTATAGAAACACCGACGTGCCGACATCACACAACTCTCAAAATCGAAAGTATATGCTTTCGATTATATACATATATATATATACTTATATAAGTAGAACAGCAAACAATTCTCTACAATAGATTTTCATTTCTCATGAGTACAGTTAGGATTTGGGTGACACCGCTATAAAATAAAAGGGACAGTCGACATAAAGACGGTAGACGGTGTTTTCGAGTTGTTATTCATTGCTTGGCATAGTCCGAGTTGTTTTTATCTTCACTTGAGAGTAATTAGGCACTTGTAAGTTATGAGTGGGTTTTGTCGGAGTAAACAGCAGTTGGCCCCGAGTTCAGACATATTTCCATCGACTTTTATCTTCGGATAATGCCATCAGTCTTCGTGTAATAAGTGTCTCTCATTGATACATATAAAGCTGTATCTGTCAACTGATAGTTGAATTTGATTAGCAGTTTAATGTTGTTGTGCAGGCTTCCATTTGAAAACACACAAGGGAAGTAGGTAAATGATGAGGCAATACTCATATGGAAGATGAATAATGTGTGTAGTTATTTTGGAAGTATATAGCGTTTCCTCCTAGTGGTATTTGCATTTTTTCAGATGGCGCGCCGCGAACCACATTCAGAAGAAGTCTGTCATCGACCTGTGGGGAAGTTGACAAAGTCTAGTGACGTAAGTCTCCTCCATTTGAATTAAAAATGCTTTTCTATACTCTTAAATCATATGAGCAGTTGGTAGAAGTAAAAATGTCCTATGCAGTGATTTATTTCGAGTAGTAGTACGTTGCATGTGTACTTGACTTTTTCAGGTCTGAAGCATCCGGTATTGTCATGTTATATTGTGTAAGTGCTAAGACAGTTAAGACACCTAGCCATCAGTTTGAAGGACATATGCATCATCTACGATGATTGTAGTGATCGCCGTAGAATGGGTATGCTGTACAGTGATGAATTGTTGGTTAGAGTTTTTATTGTATTTATAATGTATTGTCATGACTAGAGCTGACTGAATTTTATGGCGAGAATTGTGGTCATTTTTACAACAAGCCACTACTAGTTTGCAAGTTTATTTTCATGATGTTTGTGAATGAAATCGGTTACAGATAACAAGTGACATTGTCTACTTGTGCGTAGCATGGTACTTGCGAATAACAATTTGACTTATGTCTGCTCAATTATACGCTTCTATTTGTAATCACACTGCCTGTCCAGAAGTATTTCACTTTAGTTGTTTTGTTTTTTTCACATTCCATAGGATGACGTTCTATGTGTGAGAATGGAACGTCTCAATTCCTTACGGTCATCCTTGTCTAGTAAGAGACTTACAACGGACAGCCATGAAGCTGGCGTAAGTGTTAGTCCTTGTCAACCGCTTATATTTCAATAACTATTATCGCTTCATCAAAGTTTTTAATACCATATGCATGATCTATCAACTATTTGGAGTTTTCGATGTGCTTTTGTTTTTTATCTTTTCTTCCTCTGACGAAATACAATATTCAGTCTGGTGATAGCCATTATCTCATCCTTTGCCCACGGTTATTTCTAGACAATTTCAGAGCTTGTAGAAATCATGTCAAAAGAAGGGGAAAATCGAGGAAACACTGTTCGCCTTCGTTTCCGTGAGCTGCCGAACAGAAGACGTCCCCGTGGTTTTTCTGGTGTGGAAAACGAATTGGGAGATGGCAACATTTCCAACAAAAATGCGTGTGATTCTTCTGGAGCATGTGAAGAGAAATGTGGAATGTCTTCTATCGGATCACCGGGTTGTAGTCATCGTCGTATTTCGATAACCGCTTCGAGTAATGCAAATACCGATCATTGCAGGGCAAATATTGGTCGACGGTAACTTTTTGTAGTGTACATTTAATATGTTCTTTCTGTTAGGATTTTGAGTTATCTGGTTCCCAACTTGTGATAGACTGAAGTATAAAGCAATACGGTCTATGCACTTGTCTATTTACCTATATGGGAAGAATGGCTTTTACATTTGTGGTGTCTGTGAAGGCTGTAGGTATTTGATTGGTAGCTGTGATTCAGGCATCAACTAGGTAACGTGTTGTTAAGTAAAACAGTTGAAGCAGTTAAGGATAATGTGATACATCTTATGAATTATTCTATATATGGCATTAATTGTTTTGCCACTTCTTATCTAACTATGACTATAATCACAAACATTTTAATTGCATTTCGTCCTATTATTATATTATTATGCATTGCCAGCTATGATTCAATTTCCTCACCGGATATACTTTCTTAAAAGCCATATATGCGTGGTTGTACAGCTTGATAATAAATTCGTTGTTGAAAAGAATGTCTTCACTGACTCACTTGTTTCGGCTGTTTTATATGTCCCAATAGGGATTTTCCATGATAGACATCTATCATGTGATGTAGCTTGGGTGTGCCTATAACAACCATTTACTTCGACGAACTGTATTAAATGAAGTAAGATTAAACTGGTGGGGTGGCTGAGGTGGCTACACCTAGATGTGATGGAAGTCCATTCAGTACTTAACAGTTAATCTATGCGGTTTATGGAAGAGTAGATTGCGTGTTCTGAATCCACATGGCTACGTCAAACCACGTCTTGGAATTACTTGCAATAGCGCTGATGTGGTCTTACTTTATTTTTCCTTTTAATAAAATATTTCCTGTCTGCATATTCACGATGCGTTTTTTCTACGACATACTATCTTCTTATTATCCATGGTTTCATTTTGATGTGCTCTTATTGCCTGTTACTCGATATGGTGATATGCGGTATGATGACTTGTACAGTGGTGATAGATGTAGAACTGTTATAGTCTAAATGTATTGCTAGATATATAGGTGTACTAATGCTTATCTCAGGTGGGAACACTCTGTTGATGATAGGTGTTGGTGGTGAGAAATTTATGCTTTTTATGACCATCTATATGCATACTGGTGAGTCATTCTTGAGTTATTGATCCAGCAGACTGAAGTAGGACCATGTTTTATAATCCCATGCAGCTGGAAACTGCGAAGTTGGAAAGAATCAGATATTTTCAAATTTAGGTTTATTTATCTTGGTCACTTGGTATGTGGTCTGTTTTCTAGCGATTAGTGAGCCACATGGAATAGCATTACATTTTTTTATTGCCAGGTGTGCCGAATATGCAGGCGTAGTATTTACTTGAAGGTAGTTTTTATCACGGAAAGTTACGCTGGCTAGTTACGTTTGAGGTTGATGGGACAATGATTTATGAGTCTCGTGTTGATTGACTTTAGACTTGTCAAATGACAACTGATATAGGGATGAGTTTGAATGCTTAGACTATCCAGTGTTTATTTCTGCTTTCATGTGACCATGACTTAAAATCATATGTATCTTGATGAATTAGAATGTATACGCTACACCTATTGTACAGATGGTAATGCTACTAATTTGCTGTTCACATGTTGGTAAATAGAGTAGAGAAATGTGGCTCATCGGCTTATTGGCACAGCTTCATCTTGGGTAACTGGACATTATCATCAGCGCTCACACACACGCATGCACACGGTGGATGTGATTGTCAGCCTGGTACACAACAAATCTATCCTAAGTAACTAAGTTTCCACTAAGTGAATGTAATTGATTTGAGAGACATGATCAACTTGATTATCTGCTTTCACTCAACTGTGTTATGGTATATTTGTTACTTGTCTTTCTTTCCAACGATAAATTACTGTAATTCTTTGTTTGCAGAAAAGCCGTTGCAAAAAGAAATCCGTGTTCACCACCCACAAGAAAAGTATCTTTCAAGTCTGAGAGCATTGATAAATATGCTACTTGCAGCTCTCGGAAGAAATTGCGAACGCAAACTTTGAAGGTAAAACGAAGGTCGGTAGCCACTCCAGTTAGTTCAGTAATCCCCTCCAAAGGTATGTATAGATTCACATAATTTTCACTTTGATTTCGGAAAAATACATTTTCGGTTGAGTAAACGAGGGTTTCATGTGCAGTATTGTTTCTGTTATATGCTTAGTGTCTTTTATTTTCTTCTGACTAGTAAAGTAATTTAGTCACAGTGGTGTGTATGAGTGCGTGTTTTGTCATTTTACTTCAGTATGGGAATGGTCTTATCAAATTGATAAGTTGTGTTGTGAAAAATGTGCTTTTTTTCTCTTTAGCCTTTTGGCAGTAATCATGATGAAATTGTCAGTGTAGGTTTATGACTGTCAACAGCCGGACGTGATGGGATAACGCCAGATATACTTAAGGAGGGTAGTGATGAAGTGTTGTTTGGGTTAACTAAAGTACTAAGGGGTTTCTGTGAATCAGAGATGCATCCATGGAACTGGTGTAAATGATTGATTATGGGAGTGTATAAAAAGGAGTCAAGTCTTTGTGTGATAATCATGGAGGATCAGCTTGACTAAGACAGTGGTCCTGCGTAGACCGAGCGGTGATCGGGAGAAACAAACCCTGGAAAAACTGTTCGGGCTTTAGGCCAGGGATGGAGTGTATTGATGATGTCTTCATCTGTCGACAGGATACATGGGATGCTTTATTTCATCTGAAATGTTTCTATCGTTTCCTTACGTGAGGTACTTAGCTGTTTTCGTGGTAACTGGTTAATCCCTGAGACTGTGAAGTCGGCCAAAGTTACATTCATCAGTACATCTGCAGTGAATATGTTAGCATCAAGTATCGTTGACGTGGATTTCACCAGATGGGCACACCAAAAACCAGATAGACTTCATTTCAATCTCAAAAAAGTGGGGACGCAGCCTATTGAACACAAGGTCGAGGAGAGGAGCAGATGTTGGTTCAGACCACTATCTAGTACAAGGGACTTTCAAAGTGAAGCTTAAAGCCTCGAGGTTAGGCCACAATGCAAGTTCAGAAACTGAAGGACACTTTCACTGCGACTGTCAGAGTAAACCAGGAAACACTACGCGACATCACTGAAGAATCATGCGTAGAAGAACATTGGAAGTCTCTGAAGGCGATTCTCAACGAAATGTGTTCAACGGTTCTAGGAAGAAAGAAGATACAAGACAAGGAATGGGTCCTAATGGACACTTGGAAGGTAATAGAGGAAAGGAGAATGGTGAAAGAGAAAATGATTCAATGCAAAGACGGGCAAGAGGAAGAGATGCTGAGCTCGACGTACACAGCACTGGACAAAGAAGTGAAGAAGAGTGCTAGGAAGGACAAAAGACAATTCCACGACAACCTCGCCACTGAAGCTGAGAAGGCAGCGGGCAAAAGGGACCTGAGGACACTATATCAGATAACCAAGTCTCTATCCGGTAAGAGATCAACACAAGCGAAACCTATAAAAGACAGCCACGGGAACCCAATTACCGAGGAAGAAAGACAGAATAAACAATGGGCGAATCACTTCAAAGGACTTTTGAATCGACCAACACCTTCAATTTGTCCAGAAATACCAACAACAGCACGTACACAACTGCGAGTTGACGCCATTCCTCCAACGAAAGCTGAAGTCTTGAATGTAATCAAGCTTCTGAAGGCTGGAAAAGGAGCTGGACCAGATTGAATACTCGATGTAGCACTGAAAGCGGACCCAGAGACGACAGCAGACATGCTGACTCCATTATTGCAAAAGGTCTGAAAGGAGGTAAAGGTGCCTACTGACTGGAGGAAAGGTTACCTCGTGAAACTACCAGAGAAGGGCGACTTAGGACTCTGCAAGAACTGGCGAGGAATCATGCTCCTGTCGACGCCGAGTAAAATCCTGAGTCGCATCATCCTGGAGAGAATAAATGACACACTGGATGCAGAACTCCGATCGGGACAAGCTGGATTCAGGAAAGGCAAATCCTGTTTTGACTAAACTGCAACTCTAGGTATCATCACCACAGAACAAAGCATGGAATGGCAATCAAACCTCTACCTCAACTTTATAGACTTCGAGAAGGCTTTTGACAGAGTTGATCGTGAAGTAATTTGGAAACTACTCGAGTACTACGGCGTACACCAAATATCCATCAACCTTATTCAACAACTGTACGACAACGGAACATGTCAAGTCATCCACAATGGAAAACTCAGAGAAGCCTTTGGAGTAAACACAGGAGTCAGACAAGGGTCCTGGCTTATTATCACCAATGATATTCCTAATTGTGGTGGACTGACTAGATTGTGCGTCAGACAGTGGGAAACGAGAAACGGGACAGGGATATCCTGGACCGACGTGAAGAACCTAGAAGACCTGGATTTCGCGCGTGGATGATTTATGTTGGATGTCACACAAAATCGAAGACTTACAAGCGAAAACCGACAAACTGGTCGAAGAAGCAGTCGGCAAAGACAGGGCTCCATGTGGACATAGAAACGACGGAGGTTGTGAAAATAACCAACCAACAACAACTGCAGCAACATCCAGCGCCAGTCACCATCAATGGGAGGGATTTGAAAGAGGCTACTTCATTCACTTATCTAGGGAGTATTGTCTCAACTACAGGAAGTCGGAACGGACAAGGATGTCAAATTGAGCGAGAATCGGGAAGGCGAGAAACACATTCATCAACCTGAAACCAATCTGGAAATCTTCGTCACTTAGCCAGCGTCAGCAACAAAATTCGGTCGGATTTTCAATACAAACGTCACGTCAGTCAATTCTCCTATACGAAACGGATCAGAAACTTGGCGGATGGGTCACAAAGGATATTTCCAACAGCTTGTTGCAGACCTTTACCAACAACTGTCTTCGCTCTATACTTAAGATGAGATGGCTGGAAAGAATCACCAACAAGGAACTATGGGAAGAAACAAAACAAGAACGAATCGCCCAACAAATATGCAGGAGAAAGTGGAGATGGATTCGACACTCGTTGAGGAGGCCGGTTGGTGACATCGCTCGAGTGGAATCCGAAAGGGAAGAGGCGAGTGGGACGTCAGTGCAAGGGTGTCATGGAGGAGATCGTGTGAAGAGGAGTTGAAACAGTATGGACTAAGATGGATGCAGGTGAAAAGTACAGCAAAAGAGAAAAGCAAGTGGAGACGTGCAGTTGAAGCCCTATGTTCCACTAGGAACCCAAGGGAACAATAATAATAATAAAAATCGTTGACTCATGCGACTGGTTATGATTAGTTAAGATGAGAACTTTTAGCGAACTGTTACACAACTACATATGTTGGGAAAGATTGCTTTGATTGGCGTGTAGTGTTTCTTTAACACTCCCGTATAATTGAGGTTATGTCACGAAGCACGTTGATCGAGATGGAAATGCACCTGTGGGTCAGTGAATTTGGACAAGAGTTTCCTTTTGATGGCATTATAATATCTCAATGCAGGTAAACACATAAATGTGTTATTCGAGTACGGATTGAATACACCAACCACGTGAGATGTAATTTCTGAAGACTCTTCCATCTGTGTGTGTCGAATGCATCATACACATCTTATGAGAAATTATTCTGTGTGATACTGTGATTTAAACTCTACATTTCACTTTTGATGAATTATGTTTTCAAGATAGAGATCTATTTTGAAAAGTCCAGTGTTAATTTGGCTGTTTTGTGTGGTTCTACTTCACTCTCTTCTTTTTCACAATTAATTTCATGGTTTTTAAGATAGTATGTTTTCGTTTAACAGTTCGTTCACGTCAGTCGGCCTATTCTTTTGCCTATTGGTCCAGCTGTATATCAGCTAGATGTTTTTTCTTGCTTTTCATGTTTTTGTTTATATGCATGTGTGACTAAGTTTGCTTTTAGTTTGTTACTACCTTCATGAGTTTCCATATGTTTCCCTTTGTTTCAAGCTACTAATTGTTTGTTAACTCTGATATACTCTTAACAACGATAAAACCTATTTTTCGAGCAAACTAGTCCAAGGTGTTTAACTCTGAAGTTTATTTTGGGATTCTTCTATCTTGGTATATTGCCTATATGCGGATGAGAATTTTCAGTTTAAGTGATCTTCTTCCTGTATAAGTGTTTCCGCATATGCACTTGATACATACTATTTTTTGTTTGGCTGACGTCATCAGTTTAAGGACTGTAAATGTAACCACCAATTTTTCAACATCTCATCCTCATTGCACTGAAGTCTTGAGTAAGTTGATTTGTAGATTCTTATTCTTACTATTATTGTCAGAATATAGTCATTGTGGTACGATATTATTCTACAAGTGGATAATTTTATCTGATAAAGCTTGAATGATGCAGTGTTATTTACTGGCAAGGTTTCAAGGATGATTTATTGCTCATAATCATATTGAGCTGCTCACATAACTTTCCGACTTCTTATCCTATGAATTTATAGGTAATAATAAGTCCCACATCTCTAGTATTGTCACTGTCATTCCTGTTGCAGGTGTTTGCGATGCATGCATTAACACGATCACACAATTGGGTCAAACGGAGGGGTAGTTCTAAAACGACTTGTCGTCAGAAATGTACTGTTGTATATATCTTTGTATTTGTAATTGCGTGTACAATTTAATTGCTTAAAATACTCACATTTCCATGTGTTATTTTTTTGTTGTTGTTGCGCTATTAATGGTGATTGTCATCGGGATTTTCGAATGTTCCTGAAATCACTACATGGTACTTTTCTACCGGAACTTTGGCAAGATCATACAGGTCAACCTCCTTTAGTGTCTGACTTTATTAAGTTTTTATGCAATTATGGTAAGTTGGTTTATAAAACAGCTTCTAAGTTTCTTTCTTCTTTCCATTCATATATATATATATATACCAAAAGCACATACATTGGATGAAAGCTTTACTTTTTGTTGTTTTTTGTTACTGACCGGCTTGTCCCACTGTACACATCGTTGAAGCTGACTGACGTTAACTCGTTTCTGTTTGTCACCTCTTCGGATGGTATATACTTGACCCCGTCTTTTTGTGATTTTTTATGGTCCTTCCCACTTTGAAAGGAATGTCCGTGAACCTAGCCCGCATCCAACTGCATATCTTCTGTCTCTACACTTCATTTGGTCCCCGACAGCAAAGGTAATGCACTCAATCTTCCCTTTCAGCTGAGACTTCGCGACATCACTCCGCTGCTTCTATATTACATTCTTGACTGCTTCTTTCCGCTCTGCTTTTAATTTCGTCTTACTCCACTTTTGGTGAGTGGGCCAGGTCTCGTTGTGTATCGGTAATCGTGTTTTTCTACCATACATCAGTTGAAAGGGTGACTTCTTCGTTGTTTCCTGAGTGGTAGCACGATGTGCTAGTAAAATCAGTGGAAGCTCCGTTTCCCAGTTACCGCTCTTCGAGGCCAGCCACTCCTTCAGTGTACAGTTGTTTCTCCCCGTTAGGCTATTCGTTTGTGGATGATATGGGGTCCTTCTGATCCTCTTGATGCCCAACTGAAGTAAATTCTTCACTTTCGAAACAGGGACTTTGTTCTATCAGTATTGTCTTTGGTACGCCGTGGTCTGCAACAATGTGTCTAACTACTGCATCTGTCACTGTCCTTGCATGTTGGTCTGGGATTGCTACGGCGTCTACCCATCGTGTCGCGTGTTCTGTCATCATCAAGGGGTACTGATTACCATTGGATGTCTGAGGAAACAGACCCATAACATCTACGGACCACAAGTCACCTATCGCCGTAAATGAAATCGACTGAAGCAGTGGTCGTATGCACCGGTCGCCTTTCATTAGCTGGCACCGTGGACATCCAAGTACGTATCTTGCTACGTCTTCTCTCATACCTGGCCAGTACATACTTTGTCTTAGGAGGTTGGTTTTTCTGGCCACGTCTGTATGTGCTAGCTGGTGACATTGTTCTATCATGTCGTGGCGCGACGATTGAGGTATGACAGCCAGCCAGCTTCCGTCGTTCTCTCGCCAGGTCAGAGTCTCGTAGGCATTCACTCTTAGTCGATCTCTCTGTCAGAGTAGTGTGGTTAGCTCCTTACTCGCTGTAAATTGATCCACTTCTATTCCGTTGGTGATCACCTGTATCACTGTATTCAGCGTATCGTCCAACCTTTGCCTGCGTGCGAGTCTTAGTTGATCTTATTCTACTGCATGCACTCCGTAAGCGACCTCAGGCAACTCAGACTCGTCTTCTGGTCTCGATAACAAATCTGCCAAGACTTTTTCACTTCCAGGAACGTGTGAGATCGTAAAATCGTACTCCTGAAGACGCAACATCCACCGTGACAATTTCCCCCGTGGGTCTCTCACTGTCTTCAAACTGTAGCGGCTTATGATTAGTTTCGATGTGGAACCGCCGGCCGAATAAATAAGGTCTCCATTTGTCGACTGCCCATACCATTGCTAAACATTCTTTCTCTATCGTTGAATACTTTCGCACTCATCACTTCATGTTGCTCTCAGAAAGAGGAGGATGTTTGCCATTGATTGCAATTCCTGGTCATATCTGATTAAGTTTCCAACCACCGATTAAAATCGTCTCTCGGATTTCAACCAGGTGGTCATGATTTACCAACTGATTCTAACCTAACACAAATACCCTGCATCCTACTGTCTCGCATCGTGTGCCGGCCGCGTCTTCACTTTTTCAATCCAATCCCAGGACTCACGAACCGACAGCGGTATAGAATTCTGTAGGATGACATTCGTAGCACATGTCCGAAGCACCGAAGTCGGTGTTTCCAGATGACGACACTGAATGAATGGTGACCTCCACCGTATTCAAACACACATTGCTAAACATCAGACTTACGACGATGCCATACAGGTGTGTTAACGCGAAGTAAGATAACATCGTCTTCATATTCGAGGTCGAAAAGTCCTCCAGGAAGCTGATCAACACCACCACACATCCTTCAAAGCTGACTCCAGAATGTCATTGATGGCAAAGTTGGGCACAATGATGATAGCTCGTTGTCTACCCTCACTCTACCTGAGGTGTTTTCGTATAAAGCTTTAAGGGTGTTAACAAAATCTTTAGGTACACCTCTCTCTAACATGCAGTTCCAGAGATCAGTTCTATTCAAAGAATTCATGGCAGCCTTTGTATCAAGAAACACAACGATTGTTGGCCTGTGATATGCCTGACGGTGTTCAAGAAAATGACGAAGGGTGGACACGTGAACATTGCCTTAACGAAACTCAGCCAAATCTTCGTGAATCAGTTCCTCACGTGTTCGCACAACTTGTTAAGCAAGCCAACATTTTAGTCAAGACTTACAGCAAGCCAATACCTTTATGATTGTTACACGTATTACGTCGGCCTTTTCAAAGATGGGCATGGTAATGGCTTTAATCGAACACTCATTTTCCCATACTTTCCTGACGAAAGTATCTCCACCATCTTTAAAAAGAGACGGCAGTAGGTTGTGTGGTTGTCTGTCAGGCGTTTCAACACTTGGAGTTCTTTTCGGACCTCCGCTTCGTTTGGTTAGTCGGTACTAACCGACCCTGAGGCATTGTAGTTAGTGATGTTGGATGCTGGTGCTACTGAACAACTAAACTGCCTTTCGGAGTGCTCTGTCCGGTGTCCCATGCATCTTTGGTAATTGGTGTACTACCTGCTCTATAGACGGTCTAGCTGCCGGGGGCTCTGATGAGCTAGAATGGCTTCCAGCTGTCGCCAGATGCAACCGCCGATTCCATTTAACACGCACATTCTGACCACCAAGGCTTTGAGGTCCTTGCGTAAACTCTGTTCGAGCTTACGCGTAAGCGCCTTTTGTATATTGTTTTACTTGATGTCTTCCGGAATCCATCGGTGCTCATCCAGAAGTTGCAACGAAGTCGCAGAAACCCCAGTGGCTTTTATCGGAGCATTCTAATCCTCAAGTGGTTTCACTTGTCATTTTCTGAACGTCTTACAGGTGTAGTCAATCTTAATCTATACTACATGGAGCGTTGCTGACTAGCTTTGAGTCCAACTGTCCGGTACTTCGCGAAGGCAACAGGTGCTTCTAGTTTACTTGCATCAGCTTCTAGAAGACGTCATTTATAAACACCACCTAATCAGAATCTGGCACACTAAAGCATGATGGGATTCCAGACATATGCTCCAGAAGCAGCGGTAGTCATGTAAATCTATGCCATTGGAAATTGGTATCAGTGTCAATAGTCTGAGTTCAGGCTTAATTGGTAGAGGTATAACGCAAGGTAGAGGTACGGCGACGGCTGTACCGCAAGTTGTTACTGGCCAGAAATAGGTTGTGATCTGCTCAAAGCAGCAGAAGACGGTCCCCATCATATTATCTGCGACCATATAGAGCCCGCTGACCACCTAGATGACTGTCGTCTAAGCTTAGACTTGTGTATTCAAGTCACAATATCTCTCTGATGCACTTGTCTTAGAAGCTCGCATCTTTAATTGTTTCCAGGTTGTAATCCGTCGCCCCATAGGAAAATATAACAAATAGGCAGCGCTCTTCTGGTCAATCAGTTCTTACTTTCGTATAACCTTCAAGCCTCAAAGCACATAAATAACTGTTAATGGAGATCCAATCAAGTAGCGCAACCTCTGTCCTATAGCTAAGTGCAACACTGATATCATCTTCGCTGGATGTCGTTTCCACACTGACCCAGATAAGCTCAGGCGGTACACACCGTTTTGACTTCTAGATGGAGATATTTAAAACACTTCACTGGGATATTGAGTAGGGGCCTCCGGAATGCAGCTGACATCCATGGTGAGGATTTCTAATGTGCTGGAAAGACCTGTATTTTGCAATTAATAGTGTTCTCTGAGGCGGTTGGTTTAGTTACGGAGCTTTCGTCGTCCTTCTGGACAACATCCTCAGCGCAATATATAGCATAAAGTGAAATGATTTACATTTCTTCATGAGTGATATAATTGCATCTTTATATATGTACTGCCCATTTTCTATTGACTTGGATTTTAAACTTTCTGGTCACCTAATTTACTCTTTGTTAGTTGGTATATTTGGTGTATATTAACGTGTTTGTTAATTGCATATTCGTTTGAGTACCAGGCTTCTAGGAATTCCCTGGCACTTTTGGTGTTTCCTCTGTCCAAGATTTCGACATTATCGCAATCAAATTGATGTCCACAATTGTCTATGTGGATGATGATGATGACAATTGTTTCAGGATATCCGTGTTAGAATTTGCATCAGCATTTGGAAGGCTACTCACTGGTAAATCTAAAGGGTACAGAAGTGCCGAGAAATCAAACAATGGTGAAGGGCTTGATATAAGTATAAAACTTGGTCACTATGGTAGACTATAACTCCATTATGGAAAAGATCTTATTTTTTTAATCACTCAGTGACAGACTGGCGAGAGTGAAGACACCAAAGATATTGAATCCAGTGGAAATAAAACTCAAAGATGGTCTATGTATAAAATTAAAATCAAAGAGGAGCAATTTGCTAGAAATATGACTGTAGTTTATAGCAGTAACTGCCCAGTTATAATGTGTCATTAATTATCGACTCATTGTTTGTGCGACGGCTAGGATGCTGCTCAGGCGCCCAGGCGGGAACAGGTGATTGTTCCAAGGGGTCACCCCTAAGCGTTTGACTTTAATTCTGATCAACAAGACAGTGGAGCTGCATTCCCATGATTGATAGTGACTGAAACAGGTTTATACGCCATTTGATCCATGTGGATTCTGGAACACATGTGCACCGTAGGTTTGGAATCAAAGTTTCTCAGCCCTACTAGGTAGACCTGGATTTCCACTTGTTCGGTTGTTAGCACAAGACGTTCACATTTTCCGTTTCACTTATGTTAGGAACATCCACTCAGTGTGAAGGTAGTGAATAGTATTTTCTTGGCAGGGACTGTGAACTCCTGGTCAGATGAGAGAGAATGCATTTTGAAGGAAAGACGAATGCCTACCCAACCTCATCCGTACCAGGTCGTTTGGAAACAAAAGTGTTATTCAAAAAACCACTTCCATCAAGTCTCTGAAACAAATAAACAGTGATTACACATTAGCGTTAAAAATTTTAGTGGTGTTGATTATGATGAGACCTATAAATCTGATTTCCAATGAATACACTCCTGTCTTGTTATCTTTATCTTCACTGGATATAACATCCTCATCTGTGCCGCCTGTAGTTGAAAGGATTACTTTATTATTATTTTACAACGCTTCTATCTTGCAAATCGTCACTCAGTGGAAATTCTAATTTTTTTGCAAAGCAAAACACAGTACACATGTTTACACTGCTAACTTTATTCATTCTTATATGATCAAAGATTCCAAAGATACTTGTATTCCAAATAAAGAATGGTTCGGTATACCTCATGTCTTACATGGAAAATCTCTTCCACGGTCCTCACAAAGCAGTCAACCTTCATCCAAATCATCAAAGAGAGAGCAACTCAATAGCAACACAATGAATTCAACCGCAAATATTACTGTTGAATGCTCTGAACAAATAAAACCTAAAGAACATTCCTGGTTAAGGGGAGTTACTATCCCCCGAAAATTTCCGCACATTGAACAACCACGATTCACTTGTTCTGCCCATGACTTTCTTCTTGAAAATGGATTTCGATGATTGTAAACAGACCAAACATCCTTCAACTACATAGCTATGTAACAGGCTCACGGGTAAGCTCTTGTCCGTTGTTACGTCCTCAACTTTTGTTATTCATCTCTTCTCCGTTGTCTGTAAACAAACTATCGACTGAAGTTTATTCACATGTGTTTAGATGTTCTGAACTAGCCGCTGATTTTCAAACTCGAATTTTAACCGTCCTACCACAGCTTTGATACTTGAGCTTGATTTCTTAAGGTTGAACAAAGTCACTAGACACTGGCGGAAGTGGGAGTCATCTTCATGAAACATGTGATTATCTCCTGTCGACTGCAACAGTGGAAATAGTGATACCAATAGTTGGAGTCCTGCACTCTAAAGATTTTAAAAGGCAATGAATTTAAGAAGCTTTATTGAAACTGATTCCGGCTGGACATAAAGAGGAGTGAGAACTGCGTGAAAGTGAACTGACTCAAATTTTTCGTTTTATAGTGTTTTTGAGGAACGGTAGATGACAAGAAGGGAAGAAATTTAAACGGTTTGGGCAATATGTGGTCACTGTCTGTAATGTAGACTTAGAAGACGAGTTTCTGATAGATTCTGGTAGGTTAAAGGGTCTCCAGGATGAACAGGCAGCTTGAGGAGGAGTGGTTTAGATGCCCATGAGTTGCAGTAGGATTAACTACCATTCAACTCCAGTCATTTCGTTTTTTCTGGAATTGTGAAACCTATTTGTATTTCTATGTATTACAAATTGGCCTTACTTAGGATTTGAACTCTGGAAGTGTTTCGGCCAGAATAACGAAACTTGTTTAGTGTATGGAAATCAAAGGTAAATCCATCAGCCTGGTGCGCATCATTAACCTTGTAAATTTAGAAAGAAAGGGACAAGCTCTGTTTTGATAAGATCATAGACTGACTGACTTGACTAATATACCGTTCAAGATTCATGGTGATTCTGAAGCTGTTTGAGTCTGAAAAGCATCAGATGTGTGGAGAGCTGAGGTGGTTTTCGGGTCTGGACGTAATCCCAACATAGCAATGAGTTGTAAATTAAGATGAGTTACTGGCATCTGAGAATTGCTACATTTCTTGACCTGAAAGCAGCATTCAACTCTGTTGACTGTGTGGTGTGGTGGGAAGTGTAGAGATTGTTATCATACAAGCTGAATAGTGTACGATAGTTTAATTTCCACCAATTACTAAATAGAATTTTGAATGTAGTGCATGATTAAAGACGTCCGAAACATATAATTCTCTCGTTTAATGCAGTAAACTGTCTGTCTATGTGACTTGCTTTGTATTCATCTATTGACAATTCTTTGCTTACACAACATATCGTCGTTGTGTTCATCTAAGGTTTATTAATGTACTTGATAGACTGTTTTTCAACTCAGTTTACTGATATGCAACAAGAGAGCGTTGTCGATGAAATAACTGACATATTAATGTTCCATCTTCAACTTCGAATTATTTTCGTGTCGCGTTACCTTTAGAAGATGTGAACATCTCTACTCTAGAATCTGGTTTCATTCAGTAAAAATACTTTTGTATTACTTTGGTTGAAAGTTTGCGAAATAAACTCTGATAAGTTGATATATATATATAAAATTGAGGAGTTAGATGGAAGATGGATTAAAATAGAGACTGATCATAGTGACATAGAATCAACTTGACATACATTTTCCTTTCTCATACCTAGTACGTTAGTATAGTGTATATATCGTGGATTCCATGCCATGGATTATGAGAATTCGGATAGACTTGGAGTAGTAGTATTAGTAGATGGTGTGGTGGTGGTGGTGGGGAGAAGAATTGATGTTGTAGTGTTGTGACATTTTATCCACTTAAATGGTCGAGATGTATGTGTTATGGGCGTCTGTGTAGTATGAATCACTATTATTATGCGACTGCATTTTATGTTAATACTGTTGTAGATGACATCAAGTGTATTCTATGACAAGCTTTTGAGATCCTTTGTTTTCATTCATACAAAATAAGAATGGAATTTTGACTGTTTAACGTCAATTACCATCTATCTGTCTAACGGGTTGAAAATTGCTTACATGTCGTCTATAGATATCTGTCTACTATTTGCTTTTTCTAATTTTAGAGGAAACTGAACTGAACGCACAAATTTACTTTAAAGTTTTACTGTGTAACAGAATCATGCTGAAAGTTAATCATTCTTGTTTGATAGTTATGAATGTGTTTCGTTTTCATGTAAGTTACACACCATAATCAGTGTTTCGATTTACTGATTTCTTGTAGTAGATGACTTTATTCGATTTTTGAAAATTTCATTTTTCTAAAGCTTCCTTCCTTTCTAGGCACTTGAACATTGTTGTGAAGTTTAGTATTCCATTGGTAGTTATTGAGTTTGTAATATATATATATATATATATATATATATATATGCGTCGGTGGCACAATGGTTATAACTCTCACCGACCATGCACATGGTCCGGAGTTCGATCCCCTGCCGTCGCACACCGGATATCTATGGCCAGCCTGCAAAATTTGGGCTACCGATATCACATGCTGAAAATTCGATACTTGTACCAAAAATACGGCATGTAATCAAGCTATAATGTATATGCTCAATTTCTTCTCTGAAAAGGTGTCTTTCTCGAATGATACATCTGTAACACATAAGAATAAGGTTTCTGAAAAACAGTGATGTTTAACCTTTCTCATATGTGACTTCAAAACATGCAGTGTTCCGATTCTTTTTGAGGTACGAGCAAATAATACGGGTCTGCATATTGCGAAGGCAATGTAGCACCGTAATACGTATAAGATTGTTCTTTTTTGAAGTGTAATATCATTTGTATTTGATGCATCAACAATATCCTCATTGTTGTGCAGATGGACTATTTTCAAGTAGGGTGTTCAGTTTTGTGTTCGTTTAGTTGTACTGTGAACTTCAGATCATGCGGGTAGTGATTTTGACGTAATTCAAAGTGTCATTTCTATCGGTTTTTCAAGAGGATAACACTTAAGTGATCGAAATCCTAAATGATATTATGATCGGAAGTCAGTCTAAGTCAATAGCGAGCCTCATCGAATAATAGTGGTAATTCCAGTTTCTCCCATACACATCTGCATACTGTACAATAAGTAACGCAGTGTGCTGTTCCTATTTCTGAATGAGGAAATGGCAGACTGACTATTCTTGTATGTTGGTCGTGCTATGGTAAGCAATAAGTCAGTGAAAAGCTCATCAATGGAAATAGTGCAAGATAACTCTCATGTGAAATTCCTTTTTATGTTTCACATAAGTTTACTTGCTCAGGTCCAACAGGTTTCTTTTCGTTGACTTCCGTTGTTATATGAGATGCTTAGAATTCGCTTCATTTAAACCGATTAGTTTGTGTAAAACAGTACATCTCTGATGAGCTACTCTGAAACGTGCGTAACGACCATCTAATGTTTGCGTCACCTCAAGATGAGCACATTCCAGAAGGCCAGGTAGTCATGGGACTCCGATTGAGGTTGGATTGATCATATCTCCACTCTTTGATAAGTTTGTGAACGTTGACAATACACTCATGGTGTCAAACATTTGCTATATTTTAGGGAATAAAATTGGTATATGGTTATGGAAATGACTTTCGCACTAATCATTGTAAAGGTATTTTTTTATAAAGCCCTTTTATTGATTTTTAAAGTTGATCGCTTTATTATAGCTTAGTATGTCCGTGTATTCATTTGTAACGATGATTTACTATGCTTTCTTTTGTGTCTTTCGATGCGAAAACTCAATGATAGTTTAACTTTCGTGCATTCTGTTTTTGGAATTGATCAAATACACACACTTCGTAAAGCACCAATAATAATTGGCCGTCAAATTTCAGATCGCTCTCGGATGGATTCGAAGTTATTCTCTAAATTGACTATTAAACTTTGAATGGTACTGAAAAAGCGGGTTGCATTTGTCATCATAATTTCCGTTTTTCACTGTATAGATTATTAATATTCTTAGTAGTATTGTATTATATTCGTAGTATTCAAATTTGGATTCAGTCGGAATTTGCTGTTGAAATTGTTCACACTTTTAGTTTATTTTGATAAAATATACATTTGTTATATTGAGTAAATCTTATGTCGTCTACTGGTGCAAAGTTATTCACTATCACGTTGTTAGTGTGTTGAAAGACTTCAGTAAACGAATGAATCCAGTGATAAGTTGGGATTATTAATTTTCACTTCAGTCATTGTCAGGAAATTAACGCCTGATTATTAGGTTGGGTCCTACAGGTGAGCTGGTGAAGACTAAGGCCATCCATAATTCTAAGTAGTTCTCGTGTATACTTAATGCTGCTAGCCATATTTTCATGGCAATTCCATTGCTTTCCAATACTTACTAATATCCAGTGTCAGCGTGCTTATTTTTTGATTTTAGCAAGGACGTATTGGTCAAGGTAACATGATTTGACTTCAACGTCTGGCTTATTTAGGTGATAGAAGCGTTCTAGACGTGGACAAAGTATAGTCTTCTACAGGTCCTCCACGAATATTGGATTATGTTTTAGAAGCAATGCAACATCACTGAATGTTAGTTTACACGTGGAGCGTAGACGGCTGGTCGAAGTATTTACAAGGTCAATGGACTTCCGAAGTGACTTACTGAGTTCAAAGAAAAATCCAGTGTTGGCAGTGTAGTCAGTTAGCTGCTGGTAGGTCCCACTTACAGGGATGTAAGATAAATTGTTGTAATTTCTTGAGAAGAACTTAGCATCATTTAATATTACTGTATAACACCGTGTGATTTATCGAATTAAAATCTTATCCATAATGGAGTTATACTCTACCATGGTGCCCAAGTTTTATACTTATATCAGAAACTTAGCATTGTAACTGGTTTCATCAATGTGGTGTTGGCGGATTTCATCTTGCAATTTTGCAAGATGATTAGTACAGGAAAATGTCATACGGGAGGTGTGTCAGGATAGATATTTTCTCATATGATAGATGTTATCAACTGTGTCAGTTCTGTGGAAAGCGGGATTGTGAAATAAAAGTACATCTATGTATTTCCCTACTTTCAGGATTGTTTATTTTAGGAGAAATATTTGTTTCCCATAAATGCACTTCGTTTGGCGTTTGTTTAGATGGACTTCAGAGCTCTAGGTGTGTGAATTAAGTCCACTAATGAGGTTGTGTAATTCCGCATCATTGGAGGTAGTTAAGCCGACGTCTTCTGGTGGGAGGCTATGTGAGGATGTCGGAAGTGGTCAGAATGACGATCGAATTCAGCTTCTGGAGATGGCAGGCGTTCGCAAGTGGCTTTAATATAATCGCTCGAGATAGTGTGGATGAGTGATTGGAAAGTCTTAGTGCCAAAATGTCAGTGATTTCGTGCATGTTATGTGTGAGCAATATCGAGATTGTCAACAAAGAATCACAATGTTGGTTAGGAAACTTGTTTTTCAGTTGTTATCCTGTATTCATCCGAAGGTGTGACCACTGGACCAGCAGTTTGTGAATGGATTTGATTGCGATTAATAACAGGAGGAAAGGGAAATATTCAAAGCTAGTTAGTTATGAAGTTGTGTGAATGCGATGAGATTTTTATGTGCAATAAACTGTGCTTTAAACATCATCGAGTCATCAATACTATGTGTCATGTCAGGTTGATTTATCAACATGTAAATTCTAATTGTACAAGGTTCACATGGGGCATAACGATTCGGACTCGGGTTCAGAACTTCCTGTAAAAATGTTTATGTGACCAGAAATACGAATAAAGTTGGGAAATAATCAAGCCTTTATATATTCCCATTGTTAATAATCAAACAGCCACACGATACTCATTCTCAGGCGGCTTTGACTTCCTGAAAAGATCTTAACCGGCAAAGATAAATGGCGTTGTTTGAAGAGCATGGTGATAGGTAAAATAGGTTAGATGCGGCTTTGTGTGAATACATACAATGACCTCATGATCGGCTTGTTAGGGTTTTATGAGGAGAGATTGGAAGATGTGTACGTCTGAACAACGTTCAACTTCCTGGTTCAGGAAGCTTTACAATAATTGTGAAATGACAAAGGTTCTGTTCTCAACAGTAGTTTGTAATTCTGCTAATCATCTCATATTCCTAGTTTGTAAGAGGGTCAGCTTACAGGTTTATGTATTCACACAAAACTTCTGCTAAATGTGGTATTGTTGACTAATTATATTTCGCCGTAGCAGAATAGATTGTTATGAAATTTATTCTAGTTTCACGTGAAGAGATACAAAAAGAAAGTTGCGAATAAAACGGATATTGTTTATCAGACAAGAGGATTTTAGCCAGTTGTTTGCAAGACATAAAATAATTATTGGCAACGGCGTTAGGTATCTAACCCTACTTACAGCCTTCAAAGTCCTAATGAATATAATATAATCTTCCTTAGGAAGCGTAGAGAACAAAGACAGGGTGGAATTAGGAATAATAGCCTGAATACATCGATGATTACATTGTAAGAGAAGAGGCTGAGTTATACGAGGAAGTTTCAAATTCCTAATCTGAAAAATCAAACAAAATATTTTCATAGAACACAACAAGCTATGACACGACGAAGAGAGATTTGAAAACCAACAAATACGAAGATCGGTAATGTTCAGTTAACTACAGTGCTGCCAAAACTAATGTGGTGAGTGCTATTTATGATCAGATATGAGCAGTATATCAGCAAACGAATTCAGAAAAGTAATAATAAGTTTTGGATACTGGAGAAAAACAATCGAAGAAGAGAACTGTGAGAAGGACGTATACAACAATGTGTAGAATCCAACAATCTATCGAATATGGTGATATTCGGTCAATTGGCAAGTAGAGACTTAAAGACAATGTATGCCAAATTGATGCACCTACAATACGTCTGTCCTAATAAACATTACCTTCAAGCCTCATCGGTCTTTTCTTCTTTACACTACATCAACTATGTGACCGAATCTGTCCATGGAAGTCTTGTTCACCTCTGAAACTAAGTAGGCTTTCTTGCAGATTCAGTTTAAGGTCATTAGTTATCTTTCTGTCATTTGGAGAGTCTTAGCGTATGACTATTATGCTTAGACCCTGGCTAATGTCTGACAGAAAGCTATTCATTTTGAAATAGTTGGCTCAGGAGCTAATTGGCAACGAGACAGTGAGTTCGTCGTCATATTTAACAAAGTTGACTTCTTCCGAACAAGGTAAGTCATGTAAAGAGAAAGAAATAAGGGGATGAGGAGGCGGAGGATGAGAGAGAATAACACATTGAGGGTGATAGGATCCCACATATTTTGGTATTGACTGTTTAATTTTGTATATATGGTATATTATCATTCTCACACATTTTGGTAGTGACTGCTAATTTTGTATATATGGTATATTATCATTCTCACACATTTTGGTAGTGACTGCTAATCTTGTATATATGGTATATTATCATTCCCACACATTTTGTTACTGACTGTCAACCTCGCACATATGGTATATTATCATCTCTCACGCACTTTGTTATTGGCTATTAAGATAAATTATTTCAAATGCTGTTAGCTGTCCATATTGTTGTAAAATGTATAAATACCATGGCTTTCTTTATCGTTGTTGCACTTCAATACACAGTCACAGTCCAGCCTTTGTCTTTTGATATTTGCGTGCTTTACTAAATCGGAAGGTACGACGAGCAGATAGGCAGATTAGTTCAGGCGCAGACAGAATAAGGTGAAAACGTCTTCATTCAATTCCCTACAGTTATAACAAATTGGCGACGGGGTTTTACCTTAATTCAGTGCAGTTATAACAAATTGGCGACGGGGTTTTACTTTAATTCATCGCAGTTATAGCAAGCAAACGACGACAGTTTTTATTCTGTTCAGCGCAACTATATAACATTTTTGACTGTGTTAATTACAACCCAATTACAATGTCTATCTCTCTGGACGATCTCAAATCTATCTTGCAGCAGCAGCAAGTTCAGAATGAAGCAGCTCAACTAAAATTAATCGAAGCTCTCACTCAGAAGCTGTCCATTCAAGTTCCATCAACATCTCATTCTGACAAATATGAAAGCATCTCAAATTCTATCAGTGAGTTCAACTACGACCCAATATCTGGTCTCGTATTTGATGCATGGTTCAATCGTTACGAAGACGTTTTCCGTATTGAATGCTACATGTTTGATGATGCTGCCAAAGTCCGATTGTTACTAAGAAAACTTGGTACTGTTGAGCACAACAGATATGTTAACTTCATTCTGCCCAAGAACCCACGTGAGTTATCATTCGATGAGACAGTCACCGTTTTATCACAAATCTTTGGTGAACAGTCATCCATGTTTAATATTCGGTATCAATGTTTTCAGTTGACAAAAATGCCTTCCGATGATTATGTGACTTACGCTGGCAAAGTGAACAAGGAATGTGAAAGGTTCAAACCACACGAAATGACATCAGATCAGTTCAAGTGTTTGATTTTTATTTGTGGGTTGAAGAACCCAGAAGATACTGACATACGAACTCGACTTCTGTCACTTGTGGAACAAGACCCGAAAATGACTTTACAAATGGTGACAGCAGAATGCCTACGTTTAATCAACTTGAAGCACGATACTGCTATGGTGGAGTGCAAACGACAGTCGTCTGAATTTGGTTCGATTAACACAGTGAAAAGTCCTCCGATCACCGTTAAGCACACAGAACGTCAGTCTCAAAATTCAGCTAAACCTCCTTCAGTGTGCTGGCACTGTGGTTCGTGGCATTTTGTCAAGTTCTGTCCTTTCAAGAAACATAAATGCCGTAATTGTCACCGTTTTGGACATAAGGAGGGTTACTGTACACCGCAGAAAAATTCTTCGGTGAGGAACAGAAGTAGTCGTTTCAAGCCGAAACAATCTCCTCGAGTACAGACCGTTTTCACTACTTCCAAAGTCGAGTTCGCCAGCAAACGTAAGTACATAACACTAGATATTAACGGCAAACGTATTCGTCTTCAGTTGGATACGGCATCAGATATCACCGTAATTTCCCGAACTACGTGGCGCAAACTTGGTTGCCCACAGATTCTGCCGACCGAGCATGTCGCC